ATAATATTTTCCCCCTTTCACTTTACACAACCAGGCACTCTTTCACTTGGCTTCATCTACACGCATCTGACCTGGCTTCTTTCTCCCTGCTCTTTTTTTTTGCCCCCTTCACTACCACCCTGGTAAAGAAGGTATACCATGCCTTCTTTCCTGCTGGTCTGTTCAACTTGGTGCTCATTCAGCCTATCCTTCTAATCAGTCATCCTTTCCCTCATCACACACACATCTTTCTCTCTCATATCTTTTTAGTGTTCAGATGTTGTGCAGAGATCAGACCAACATGTTGCTTTCTCAACTGTGCTTCTGGCTTGTATGATGCTACTTACAGGCCCTCTGCAAAAATTAAAAAATTTCAGATCTGACTGAAGCTTTTTCTCCAGTTGGGAATAGAAGATAGGTCACCTAGTGACTGAAGATGGTATTTGGGGCTATAACAAATGAGAGGCCCTAAGGGTAGTCAAGTCTGACATCTCCTAATGAAAATAGGATATTTTCAGCTGAAGCTACCCCCAACAGGTAACTATCCATACTTTATTTAAACATCTCCAGTCAAGAGGAATCCATCACTTTGAGTTAGTTCACTCTTTGTCCAACGGCACCTGCTGTCAGGAAATACTCCTTAATATCTTCTCTGAGTCAGTTTGTTTGGATTTTAAGATAGCTATCATGTCATTTCTGTCTTCTCCATGGTAAACACTCCCAAGTCCCGTAACTGAGTGGGCATACCCAGTGACGTCAACCATTCCTCAGAGAGCTTGGCTCACAGACTCTTCTCGTCTTGCATGCCTCCTTGGGAGACATTCCAGTATCCTCCTTAAATGATCACACCAAGAACTGGACACAGTGGAGTCTTCTCTTTCGAGTTTTTGTATTTCCTCATCTACATATTGATCTGAACACTACACTTCTGTCAAGGCAGCTTAGTATTATTTGTATTACTTTTTTTTTTTGCTCCAGCATAAAACTACTGGTCCACATTTAGCTAGCAGTCTACCAGACACCTACATTCCTTTCACACATACTATTACTGAGCCAGATATCTTGTATAGCATCTCTTCTCCGCTCTTGGCTAATTTGCCAGTCAGGACCATTCGTGACAAAGGTGGAACTTGCCAGTGTCATCCACAGCATAATTAACTCCAGATAAAACTACTGTAATATGCTTTTCCATGCAGCTGCTGCTAACCATTTAGAAATGACAACTGGTCCAAAATGCAGCAGGTAGACTGCTGATGTGAACAAGGTGTTTTGAGCATGTTGCACCTGTAGCATTGGCTTCTGATTTGTTTCCAAGTTCGGTTAAAGGAGCAGTGGTTAAACTCTGAATATTTTTGAACCTAAGTAACCTAAGGACCATCCTTCACATGTTCCTCATCATGTGTTCTGACTATCTTCTGGGGCACAACTTTAGATCTTCTGACATCAGAAAACAGTATTTACATTAGAAACAATCAGTATACAATACTAGGCTTTTCTAACCCGATTAATTCCTTCCCACATCATATAATCTGTTTTATATACATTTCTCAGAAGCCCACTTTTAACACAGATTGACTACCAAAGGTGCAGAATTCAGGCTGTCTTAGACGACGTTGTTAAAACAATGGGCCTTTGTGCTGGGCTTAATGCAAAAGTGTGAACGGTGCAACTGTAACATTTTGGCACAAATACACATTATACTGTTTGATCCTGCTACAGAGGTTCCTTGATGCACAAACAGGATCTGTTATACACAAAGTTTTCTCTGTCTGTAAGGCTGACCTTATTTTCTGACTACCTTCAAAGGCTGATCTGTCACTATTGCATGCTTGTCATTCACCTGCAACTGTGGAACTTTGGACTAGATACAGTTTCTTAGGCTCTGCTATCTCTCCATTTTCACAGAAGATTTAGTGCTGTACAAGATAAATTTCCATTTACTAATACCTGTTGTATCCCAAAATGTGTTTGAAGGAAGGAAATATCTTGTGTGCACCAATTAAGAAACTTTTGATTATAAGCTTCTTGACTTACAACTCAATTATCCCAAAATCCAAGACACAAAACTCAATTGAAGGTCTACTGAGCAAGACAGGTTGTAACATATACTTTTTTTATTAAATATGTAAAAAGATAAACGCAAGTCAGTTATTCACATATTCAGAGACCAAAAAAAGTCTATTCTATCATGCGACAATTGGTGGGTAACTCAAAATGATTGATACATCTGAATAAGACTTTTTGCATCTATATGTCATTACTTACCTATTTATAATTAACAATACATATGTTTACATTCCTTTGAGTTTACATTTAATATATAACCAAAGCCTTATGGTGTGCTATTTAGTAAAAGTAATTACAAATGCATATTAAAAACGTAACGGAATAACAGGGTTACTCACCACGGGAAGGGCAGGCAGGGAGTCCACTTTCCCTTTCCAGAGTCCCTCACTCCCCTCAGCACCACTGAGCAGATCAGGCTCCCTACTGGATGGGTTGGATCTAGGATCTGCCCTCTGCTAGCAGAAGGCCTCTGCTTGTAAGAGGTCCCTTGGCCCAATGTGGAGCAAACTTTCCCCTCCCCCATCCTCTTCAGGAGATAGTTGGAACAACTTTTATAGAAAGGAAGGGTCAGGTTAAGTCCATCTGATGGCTCTGATGTGCGTACCTAAATCTGGATCCAGCCTATGTGTGTGCATGCACATGCGTGTGCACTTGTGTGTGTATCCCTTCTGCCTTCTAGGCCAGCCACTTCCTGTCTTCAAACAACAACAAAAAGATGATGGAAGGAAATTGCTCCACAAAGCAGTTACACAAAAGGGGAGGAGCAAATACACACGTCCCCCTCCTTCACACACATAAATCTAAGTGACAGGACTAAGGGGCAAAGATGCTTTGATTGGAACTATATAGGAATAAAGAAGCCCAGAAAGTGCTTCAAAAGGAAGTGATCTGAAAATTTGTTCAAGAGTATAAAAGGAAACAAAGATACAACTGCATTGGTGGTGATGAAGAGGTGTTTAAAAGCTGGTTCAGAAATCCTGCAGCCAGCATAACCAGTATCAGGATAGGGTAACCACTATCAATAATAATCATGAGGAAGTGTATTGTTCAGTTTGCAACACATGAAACAGCCATTGAAGAAGACATTGTCCTCATTTTCTGGGGTGTCTGTTGCACAGCTGGTCATGTAGTGGTTGTGCAACCTACCATTTGATGGGCAGCCCAGGAAATGCAGAAAACCACTTGTGCAACTGCCATTCAGCTTATGTGAAACTGAACAGGGTACCATCCAGGGACATTTAAAAACAGACTATGTATAACTTCTCTCTCTCTTTCTTTCTGCTAGATCATGACAATATACTATATCTTCCTGAAAGCAATCCTGCTCTTTAATTGTTTTATGTATAAAGCCTTTAGGTGAAACCAAATCACTTTAGCTAACAACAGAAATGACTAGCAAAGGGGGCACTTCAATTTTCATACGGACACGATGGTATAAATGAGGCAAACCATATAAACTCTCCCAACCTGAACACATTGGCTACCATTCTGTTAAGCTAAGGTAATGCAAACGTCTGTCAAAATGCTTAAAAGTACTGCACATGCTGCCTGAGTTGTGCCTAAGAGTTAAACAGCTGCAAGAGACTTCTGTAGATGCAGGAGGTCTTTGCATAAATACATAAATTAACGTAATCCCCCTTGATCAAAAAAGCAATGCAACTAAGTTCAGAATGCTACATGGAGATCTTCGCTAATTATAGCCAATGGACTGATTTTATTAAATTTTGTTATTGTCCATTCCTAGTAAATAATAACTTGACGAGTGAACCTGAAAGACTGAAAAACGGGGAATAAAAAAGAAAACTAAAATTAGACTAGAAAAATGTGCAATTTAAGAAATAAGGAATGTTTTAATACATGATTTTCTATATTTCTATAATAAAATGCCATTATCTAAACAGAAGTTTAAGAAGAACAGCAATATTTAAACACATGGCAATGAGTATTAACCATTTGTTTATGCATCTTGTCAGTTCATTCAGTAGTCACAGACAGGCAAAAGAACCACTCTGTCATGTGCCTGCATCCTTGCCTCCTGAACTGTGCCTAAAAACTGGCATTATTTGTCTAGAAAACAGGTGCTTAACTGAACAGTTACATTGCAAATATGATTCTAAGAGAATAAATTACACATGATTGTACTAATAAATATTTTGGCCTCCCCAATCCTAACAAAAAATAAAAATATCACCCTCCAAAGACATAACAAAAAAGGAAGGAGTTGATCTCATAATCCCCATTTCTAGTTGAAATCAAAGAACATTTGCAACTACAGATGAAGTGGCAAAGACTTTTATAAATGTTTAAATTGATGGGCATTGATTTTGGAAAGAAGCAAAGAAAATATCACAAAGCTCTCACTGTAAGAAGCAGACAGGCATGTATGTACCTTCCAGAAATAAAAATACACTGCACAGCTTTCTAACATGCTTTCGTGTATAACTTCAGAAGAAATACAGTACATGTTTTGTTACTGCTGTTATTTTAATGAGGAAAGGGTTCCTTGCTTTCTGTGCTACAATAAAAGATAGCAATCAGAAAAATTTGAGTATGTTTTCAGTTGTTTCACCTCCTTCACTCTGATCAAATTTGTATGCAAAGTGAACCAAATTATCAAAAATCAGAAACTCTAACAGAGTAGTACTTTTGTCATATGAGATGCCCGTATAAATAGTTTTGCACAAATTACAAATGTTATTATACTTAAGACAAAAGAAAAAATAAATATATATTAA